TTTCAAACTCTCTCTCCTACACGCCTACTTAATTGCACTCTGTAACACACAAAACAGTACTATGCCTACTCATGAACACCAGTGGGGAGTTAGCCCTCACACCTGCAGCCTGTCAGCCTCCCACCCACCTCAACTCCTGAAATGTCAGAGAGAGAGAGAGAATGAGAGGAGGAACAGATCAGGATCAGAGGCACTGTTAACTGTGAGGCTCCAGAAAACATAAATCATTTAAGCATTAATCACAGTCAACGTCACATCAGAGACATAAAAGGTAGAGGAAGTGAGGGAGGGAGTACATTTATCAAACTTCCCCATTCCCCGGTAATATGATTGTGTTCCCTCATAATAGTATTTGTGTGTCCTCGCAATACGTTTTGTGTTCAGTCTGAATACAGGCGCACACTCTTTCATATAACACCCAGTGATTCCTCACAGTAATGGATCTACTGATTTATTGTTACCTTGACATAACGTCAGAAATTATGTTGCAAGGAGAAACCCCTTAACGCTCAAGACCAGACTACCTCAGTTCTGACTTTCTGGATTATTATTTAGCTTCTCCTCCATTTCTTGTTTTTCTTCTTCGTTTTACCATTTTTCCTTCCCAAGGTGCGTCTGTTTTGAGTGTGTAGTGTTAATATTGGAGGCTCAAACAAACTGCTTCAGATTAACTGTCGACAGGGCGACGTCTCCATCTAGTGGCTTCTAAGCCTAAAACAAGTTTCCTTGTTCAGATTAGTGGGGATTTATTTAGCAAAGTCTCTATTTTGTATTTTCCTAATGGCACATCCCTCTGAAACTCTTTAGCACTTTTTCTTGTTTTCCTATATTTGCAAAATGTTATTTATTTCTTTACACCATGCCTTTTCATACTTTATCTCACTATTCAGCAAGTAAAATCTTGTGTGGTTGTTGTCTCCATACCTTTACAATATAATCCACAAGCTTCACTTTGCTTCAATGAATTAATCTCTCTCTCTCTCTCTCTCTCTCTCTCTCTCTCTCTCTCTCTCTCTTTGTCCAGGGTGTCTGGCGGGGAACTCTTTGATCGTATCATAGAGAAGGGCTTCTACACGGAGAAAGATGCCAGTAAGCTCATTCAGCAGATTCTAGATGCCGTCAAATACCTCCACGACATGGGCATTGTGCACCGTGACCTCAAGGTCAGTCCAGAGATACCAGAGATGTCGGAGAGAGTTTGCATGATTTGTGTGATGGCACTCTCATCAACTTTCTGTTTTTTTGTCCCTCCTCGTCGCAGCCAGAGAATCTGCTGTACTACAGCATGGAAGAAGACTCCAAGATCATGATCAGTGATTTCGGTCTGTCTAAAATTGAGGGCTCTGACAGTGTGATGTCGACAGCTTGTGGAACACCTGGATATGTTGGTAAAGAAGTCAGAGATATCTTGAACATCTACTTACAATAAATCAGTTATACAAGGCAGGGAACAGTGTGTCATGCAATATTAGCCCAATGACACTATCTAACCGGTACTGTGATGCAAAATCTTTCATAAAACACCATCAACAGCTTATCGGAAGCTCATACAGATAACAAACATCATGAATCATTTTAGCCCAGTAAAAAAAAAAACTTTTGCAACCACAGTCTCACTTTACTCACAGGCCAAACTACAAAATGAATAACTTATATAGTTTACATACTAATAATGCTTAACATGTGTCAAACGTCATTAAACATCTATCTTCATGTACTTGTATTACCTTGTTTTGTTCTTTCAGCCCCTGAAGTGTTGGCTCAGAAACCCTACAGTAAAGCAGTGGACTGCTGGTCTATTGGTGTCATAGCCTATATTCTGTGAGTACACTTTCTGACTGGAATCCAGCCCAACACAGCATGGATACATGTATTGTGTTTGATAGTTATTTTAACCTCCTGGGATGCTCCTAGTAGAAAATATGACATCTGTGCTGTACTGTGTGTCTCAGGTTGTGTGGTTACCCTCCGTTCTACGACGAGAATGACTCCAAACTGTTTGAACAGATCCTGAAGGCAGAATACGAGTTTGATTCTCCTTACTGGGATGATATCTCTGATTCAGGTACAGCTCTTATTAAGCTATTTTTCTTCAGTCCTCATAAAGGCATGATCTACATTTGTCATAGAGAAATAGCAAACCTGTATATTTCACTTTAGATGTGTAGACCTCATTAGAAGCGTCATTTTTCCAGGTGCATGATCTAGCATAGAACACCAGGGAAACACTTTTATTAAAGCAGCAAGAACATCTTTTTTTCAACAATTTCCCTGACCTCAGGTCAGCTTGGAAACTGCCCTTGCATTGTCTTTTCACTTCCTAGTGCCCAAACATTCTGAATTCCTCTTGATCTATTTGAGAAGTGGCCTAAAACCATCATCCTCCCTCCTTGCTGAACTCCTAACTTCATCACATAGAGTGATTCTGTTGCTTATACCAGTGATGCCTTTCTTTCACTCATGACCGTGTGTGTGTGTGTGTGTGTGTGTGTGTGTGTGTGTGTGTGTGTGTG